AGATTAGCCTTGCCTTCAACATCAGTAGTCCAGTAAAAATTCCACTATATCCCAATCTTCTCAAGTCAGCAACAACTGGATCAGGACATTCTGAGGTGGTGAAAGGTGCTATATAAATGCAAGTCTTTAACTGAAACGTGCATCAGGGTCACCATCAAAATGTCATTCTAACTCTATTCACTCTTAACACCTCCGAAGGGGGCTCAACAACCCATTCAGGTCCACAACCTTACAGTTAAGGAGAGTGAGAGTGAGAGAGTGAGAGAAAGAGAGAGAGAGAGAGAGGAAGTCCTAGCTTGATGGAAGAATTTTACCATCTATACCTTAGCACAGACAAGAAAGTAGCGCAACATAATTGGGGGCCTGGCAACTACAGTTGATGGATAACAGATCAGCAGACCATGAGACCATAAGAAATAGGAACAAGAGAAGATGTCAACAGGGCAGGATGTCACCCTCACAATCACTGCGATGTCAGACTGGCCCTTCTTGATGGTGAACCCTCGGAAAGTGACTGGCCCGAGCAGAGACCCCAGCCGTGCACTCAGATCCTGCACAGACCAGCTGGTGAGAGGATTCGCAGACATCTTTAACCTCTCCCTACTACAATGTGAGGTTCCCACCTGCTTCAAGAAGACCACCATCATCCCTGTGCCACAGGAAAACCTGGCAATGTGCCTTAGAAACTGTTGCCTGGTGGCTCTGATGTCCATCATTATGAAGTGCTTCAAGAGGTTAGTAATGGCACATCAACACCAGCCTCATGGATCACCTTGATCTGCTACAATTTGCCAACACTGCAGGTCCACGCCAGACACCATCTCCCTGGTCCTACACTCACCCCTGGAACGTCTGGGTAACATGGGCACCTACGTCAGACTCCTATTTTTTGACTTAAGCTCCGCCTTTAACACCATAATTCCAACATAAGCCATCTCCAAACTCCGAGACTCTGCTCCCCTCTCTCTGCAGCTGGATCCTTGATTTCCTGATCTACAGACCGCAATCAATAAGGATAGGCAACAGCACCTCCTACACACTAATCCTCAACACCAGTGCCCTGCAATGTGCAGCTAAATTCAACTCTTAATGCCATTTACAAATTTTTTGAAGACACCACTGTCGTCGGTTGGATCTCAAACAATGACAAGACAGAGTACAGGAAGGGACAGACAGCTTAGTGGCATAGATAACACAGCGTGCAGCTGGAGGAACACAGCAGGCCAGGCAGCATCAGAGAGGCCCGAAAGTTGACGTTTCGGGTGGAGACCCTTCTTCAGAAATGGGGGCACCATTTCTTTCCTGTTCCTCTGATGCGGCCTGGCCTGCTGTGGCCCTCCACCTCCATGCTGTGTTATCTCGGACTCCAGCATCGGCAGTTCCTACTATCCCAGCTTAGTGGCATGGTGTAAAGACACCAATCTCCCTCTCAATGTCAGCAAAATGAAGGAGCTGGTCATCAACTTCAGGAAATGGAGTGTAGGACATGCCCCGTCTGCATCAATAGTGCTGAGGTGGATGTGTCAAGAGTTTCAAGTTCCTGCAAGTAAATATCATTAATAATCTGTCCTGGTCTATCCACATTGATGCTACAGTCAAGAAAGCAGACCAACACCTCTACTTCCTCGGAAGGCTGAGGAAATTCGGCATGTCCACAATGACTCTTATCAATTTTTATAGATGCACCGTAGGCAGCATTCTATCCCAATGCATCACAGCTTGGTATGGCAACTGCTCTTCCCAGGCCTACAAGAAATTACAGAGCTGTGAATGCTGCTCAGTCCATCAGGAAAACCAGCCTTCCTTCCACTGACTCCGTCTACACTTCTCACTGCCTCGGCAAAGCAGCCAACACAATCAAAGACCTCCCCTCCACATCCCGGTTATACTCTCTTCCATCGGGCAGAAGATACAAATGTTTAAAAACACGTACCAACAGGTTTAAGAACAGCTTCTTCCCCGCTATTATCAGACTTACAAACACACCTCTCATATATTAGAGCTGATCTTTCTCTGCACCTTCTGTATAGCGGTAACATTATATTTTGCATTCTGTTCTATTATCCTGATGTATTGAAGGTATGATTTGTCTACTTAGCATGCAAAACAATACTGTTCACTGTATTTTGGTACATGTGACAATAATAAATTAAATCAAACGAAAGGAATAGGCCATTCAGACCCTCTAATCTACTTGGCCGTTCAGTGGGATCATGGCTGATCCGAAAACCCTCACATTCACTGTCCTGATCGTTCCCCGTAACCCTTGATTTCCCCGACTGGTCAAAAATCAATCTAACTCAGCCCTAGATATACACCAGGACTCTGTCCCTACAACTCTCTTCGGCAAGGAGCTGAAAGACTCTCAACCTCCAGAGAGAAGAAATTCGTCCTCACCACAGCCTTAAAAGCTGGACAATCGAGTTGTGGCTGTTCACGCAAGTTTGCAAAGGCACGCAGCAGGACGAGATGCACTAATCAGCGAGCTGTCTTCAATCACACAAGTGGAATTAATCGTCAGTCACCACCTCCGATTCTGAGATTGAGAGTGCGGGCAGAAGAGGTGGGGGGAGCTAACTGCGAGTTTCATTTCATTCTATTTACGGTCAATAACAGTCATGTTTACATCTCTTTTATCTTCCCCACCACCCTTCTCCTCCTCCTCTCCCACCAAGGTATATTGGGGACTTAGGTCAATGAGCAACCACATGGTGGCGCACATGTCCATGTGTACATGTCTCTTGGTATAACATTGCACTTAACATCAAGACAGAGATTGCGAACGAGTTGCATGGTATAACATGGCACAGCAACGTAGCCTTCCAACAAACGTTTGTGCATTTCAACCAGGAATTTTAATGATACGAGTTATGAGGGAATGTGAAACCTAGCACTTAAAACACATAGGTGTGATATGCAAAAACAGTAGGTGTTTCTCTAAGAGCTGCTTATAGTTTCTTTAATACACCCTTGCTTATCATCCCGTTAACAACAACTAATACTTAGAGAGAACCTTCAAACGTAGAAGAGACCCCTCCCCGAACCAAATGACTTTGGTGAGAGAGAAACAGCTGATCCGTGGTTGGGCAAACGTTGAGCGAGCTTACACTAGGTGATGTGGAAAGAAAGATTTGCATCGATGGAGTATTTCTCAGCCACTAGACATCTCACATTACAGCCAAAGAGGTACCTTTTATTGAAATGGACTGTAGGAAACACGTAGGGCCATTAGTACACAGCCAGCTCCTGTAAACAATGCGATAATGGCTGGACAATCTGTTTCTGTGTTGTCAGTTGAGGGATAAATGTTGGTCAGGACACAGAGGATAACTCGCCCTATTCTACCTCAAAACAGAGCCACGGAATCCCTAACACCTACCGAAGCAGGCAACTGGGGCCCTGCCCCTGTTTAACATCCAATCTGAAAGACAGCCAGTACTCAGCCTAAAGCATTGGAGAGTCAGCCATGTTTCATTTCATACTGAAATCCTGGGGCGGAATTTGAACTCAAAGCCTTCTGAGCAAGGGAGCAAGGGTGCTGTCATCGGAGCTGAAAGAAGGTTTTGAGGAGACTCCCAAACATGAGGAAAGAAGCAGCAACGCAGAAACTTTGATGACAGGAGGTCAAGAGCTTATGTTCAAGGCAGCTAACAAGTTGGGGTCAAGCTCAGAATACAGGGGACAGGAACCCACTTCTGTAAGCTCAGAGAGCAAGGATAAAGGCGATAAGGACAGACTGAGCAAGGTGTTGGGAAGGCACCCAAACATGGACGAGGATTTTGGGTCGATGGAGATGCCAGGGAATGGACTCAGTGCTTCTTTCTATCTATTCATGGGATATCAGCATCACTGGCCAGGCCACCATTTGTCACTATTTACTTAGGGGCTTAAATGCCCTTGAAAGAGGTAAGATGACTTCTTCAGTCCTCAGGGTACAGGAGCACCCTCTGAGCTGTTAGGCTGGTTCCAGGATTTGAACTCACTGATAGTGAAGGAACAGTGACATACAGCAAGCTCTTCATTATCCAGCAACTGTGCGATTATATCCATAGAATCCCAACAGTGTGGAAACAGGCCCTTCGGCCCAACAAGTCCACACTGACCCTCAGGGCATCACCCCCAGACTCATTCCCCAATCCCACCTAATCTACACATCCCTGAACGCTATAGGAAATTTAGCACGGCCAATCCACCTGCACATCTTTGGACTGTGGGAGGAAACCCTCGCAGACACAGGGAGAATGTGCAAACTCCACACAGACAGTCACCCGAGGGTGGATTCGAACCCAGGCCCCGGCGCTGTGAGGCAGCAGTGCTAACCACTGAGCCACCATGCCTAGGAGTGTGCCAATGGACCAAATGTTCCGATTGATCAAGAGGTCCACATAATCAATATAAACCCATACAGTAAGTAATAGAATCGTAATGCAGGGAAATACACATCACTGTTATACTTACAGCATACATCGCTTCAATAATAATGCAAATTCACCTTACATAAAACTGATCAGTAGAGAGCCTTCTCATTCTCATCCTCAACTGACCACTCAGAGATCGCAGTATTTGAGAAGAAATTGACTCGAAATTGAGTCAACTGCTGCTGTTTCTTGTGGCCATTCAATGGACTAATAAGTATACTTATATTGATGTAAATACATTTTAAAAAAAAGTAATAATTGGATAGAATAACACAGCAAACTTCATGGTATTTGAGGTAGACATAATTTTTGCCAGAGTGCCAGATCATAGGGTGCCAGTTAAAACAGTTTGCTGTATTTCTGAGACAGGATGGTGAGCAGCTAAGAGGAAACTTGCGGGTGATGGCATTCCAATGCATTTGCTGCCCTTGTTCTTTCCTAGGTGGGAGAGGTAACAGGTTTGGAATGGAGTGTGGGATAGAAAGAACATTCAGCGCTTTGGAGCAAATCGAACTTTGTATAGACTGGAACTATATGCTGATGACAACTCCTAAATCACAGAAAAAGACTGAAAGTACTTACTGTGTTATTTTACAATTTGTAGTGGCCACATATCGCCCCGTGTAGTGAATGTTGCATCTGATAACATTGTTGGTGAAATCCGATTCTTGTATAAGATAATTGGGGTTCACTTGAAGCTACAACACAAATGTACAATTAAGGGACATAAATGTAATTTGATGACAGGTCAGAATTGCATACAGCAAGTAACAGGCTTGTACCTTTAGTATGAATTTCCCAGGCTGGACATCTGTGATATCAATCCATTGGCAATCTATATCCGCATTGTAGGTATCATAGCAACCAGGACTTAGACCCTAGAGGAAAAATAAAAGTCATGTTTATAATTGTCACTGTATGGTGTACTTTACCAAAGCAATTCAAAATGTCTCAAGATGTGTCCAAGGAAGCTACTCAGTGCATAATGTAGGCTCTCTAAAAATCGCTACCCAATTATCCTAAGTTCGCTTCTCCTTCTTCATAGTCCTGTAGTATTGTTCTCTCCATTTTTTCCAACTATACATCCAGTTAACTATCAGAAGGTGCACTTCAATCTATTTCTACACCCTTTTTGAGGCTAACAATCCAGTTCAAACCATGTTGCATAAAAAGATTCTCCTCCTCTCTCTCCCCTCCAATTATTGTAAACATGTTTCCTCTGGTTATCAACACTCTTGGCAGAATTTCTCCTCGTACTCCTAATAGGTATTTTCTGATTGACTTGTTCAGATACATTGCCACACACTGCTGCAGCAGGTCAGACTTGAACCAAGGCCAGAGGTAGAGACACTACCACTGCTCCATGGGAAGCCTGACTCACACATAGAATAAACAAACCCTTACAATGCAGAATGCCTGTGTAATGAGAATGATCAACACATAATGCAATATGATGTGGTTGGAAATTGTGGCTTCATTACTCGTGGTTTCCTGCAGGGCGAGTTGTCAGTTTTGACCCAGGCTATGACAGCAAGGTGATGAACAGATGTTTACTCCTCAGAGGGAGAAAGAAAGTGAAAAGAAAAATGACAACCAGAGGCTCAGGTCTCTCACGCAACAGTGAGTGTTCAGTCAGGGAGCAGCAAGAAATCTGAGTGCAACTTGCCTGCTCTCAGCATATCCCTGTGGGGAACGGAATATGATTCTGAAGTTGAGGAAGAAAAAACAGGTTAAGTAAGTAAGAGGGAGGGACTGAACTGCACTACGCAGTGGATAATAACCTTGTATAATTGTACCTGAAGCCTGGGTTCAAGCCCTCACAGATTGAGAATAAGACAGACCCTTAAACTTGCCAAAATAGTTTGCAAAAGATTAGAACTAGAATTGTCCTCCAGTAAAATTACCTCTGGGTTTGTGGCTCATTGGACCTTGAAGGGTCATTCTCTCATTTGACACATAAAGCCTTCAGTCGTTTTGTTACTTCAGGCTCAGTTTTGTCCAAGCTAATTGAAGCGATGTAGTTACAGAGTAAAAGTAGTTTCTCACGTCCTATATTGACAAAGTCAAAAAGCAGAAGTGGCTGATAACCAAGTCAATTCAGACAAAACATCTCTTATTAGTGTTGCTGAATCTCGCAGAGACTTGAGCACAAAGACTTAGCTTGCTACTCCAAGGCAGTACTGAGGTACAGCTGCACTGTTGAAGTTACACACCATTCATGATTAAGTGTGTTTTTAATGGCATGACAAGGCCTTACTATTGCAAAGAATCTCTTTGGTCCTGAAAGTTTACTTTTCCAAATATAGAGCAGGTGAGCTGCTGGCTAAAAGAACGAACTCAGCAAAGAAGAGGAAACAAAGGGGTGGACAAGTGTTCACGACCTGCAATTGTTAAAGGCAAGGTTGAGTCCAGAAGGCTGTGAAGTGCCGAAGTGGAAGGTGAGACGTAGTTGCTGGAGCTGATGTGGAGTCTCACTGCGCCTACTAAAGGGACTTGAGAGGCTGACGTGTGCTACGTTTTACAGAGACATGACTCACTCCTGCTTCACCTGAGTGTGTCTTACAACCTGAGGGCTTCTCAATCCAGTGGATGGACCGCACGGCATCATCAGGCAAGGCAAAGGGTGGCAAGGTCTGCTTCCTGATCAACATGCTCAGACATGAAGACCCTGGTGAGTTACTGCCCCCTGAACCCGGAATACCTAACGGTGAAGTGCCGTACCTGCTGCAGGAGTTTACTTCTGCAATCCTGACAGCAGTTTATATCCTAAACCATGCAGAAATGAAGAACACATGTGATGAAATATACACCGCTCCGCATAGCCTTGAGGTAGAACATCTGAGGCCTGGTTCATTGTAGACAGTGACTTCAACCAGGCCAACCTCAAGAGATACCACCAACACATCTCCTGTCCCACTGGATGCCCAAACATCCTGGACCATTACTACATAACAATCAAAGACACCCACCACTCCATTCCTGCCCATGTTTTGGTAAATCAGACCATAAGGCTGTACTCCTTCTCCCGGTTTACAAGCAGAAACTGAAGCATGAGGATCCATTACAGAAAGTCCTACAGTGCTGGTCTGAGGGAATGGACAAGCTCCTACGTGACTGCTTGGAGTCCATATCAAGAACTCAGCAACCAATCTAAATGAGTATGCCATTACCGGCACAGACCCCCTCAGTAAGTGCATGGAGGACTGCATGCTAAAGAAGTTAATCCGTGTGTTCCCCGACTGGAATATGGATGAAACGGAAGATCCACTCCCTATTGAAGTCTAGCTCCGAGGCGTCCAAGTTGGGTGACCCTGACCTATACATGAAAGCTATCAGGGACACCAAGAGACAATACCTGACTAGAGTCTCAGACTAACCACACGTCAACTGTGGCAAGGCTTACACAATATAACAAGGGGGTCAAAATCATGGAAAGATCAAGCAGAAACATTTGAATTTTAATATTTGGAGTTGTTGCTAGAATGAAAACCAATGTAAATCAGCAGATGATTGCTCAATGGAATTTGCATCAAATAATGGTGCAGGCTTCAGAATTTTTGATAAGCTCGCACTTGCAAAGGATAACAAGCAGGAGTCTGCACTACCAAGCACTGGAATGGTCACATCTGGAGGTAAGAAAGGTATGGGTAAGGGTTTCAGCAACTGAGCGGAGCTCTGGGTGCTGTGACGTGGTGGTTCCAGCTGGTCTCAGTGATGGAGATGGACTTGGAAACTGGGGTCAAGTAGGAAGTCAAGGTTGCAAAGTCTGAAATATACCTGATAAGTTACCCAAGACTGGGATGGAGTTAGCAGGGAAGGAGATTTGACATTAGAGTTTGTAGAGGGAAGCAAAGATAATGGTTTGGCCTTCCCAATATTTAACCAGAGGAAATTTCAGCTCATCAGGTACTGAACACTGAATAACTGGTAGACTGGTCAACAGATGTTAGACAGAGCAAGTTGGGTCTGAATGGGATTAGGAAGAGACAGAACACATTGATGTTAGATCTAAAGGTTCCAACAGGAAGGGATCTAGCAACTAGCAGTGAGTGGTGTTCAGTACATCTGCAATTATCGCCTAGCACTTTAAATAAAGAGTCACTGTTTTTAATTCAGGAAGGTTTGAATGTTGTCAGACATTGCTAGAAGCAAAAACAAAAAATGTTGGAGAAACTCCGCAGGTTACATACCATTTGTGGATTTGGAAAAAGAGTTAGTGTTTCGAGCCAGCTATGACTCTTTTACTGAAACTGGCTGCAACTTGCTTTGAGGAATGAAAGGAACCAAACTCCGATTCAGAGAGAAGTTCAGAGAGATTTAGTAACTTAGCTAAAAAGGCTCTCACTTGAGAGAAATGAAGACATCAAGTGGTCGATGGCCTCAACCTTGATCCATTCAGGAGGAAGAGAGGACAATTGTGAAGGACTCGCAGTCTGCATAGCCAACACATCATTTCTGTACATAACCAGAACATTGCAGAGGGACAGAAATAGGTTGCTGCAGAGAAATATACTTTAGAACAAAGAGGTCATAAACCACTACTGGATTTAAATAGAAGCATTGTACCTGTTCTTAAACTGGTGCACAAATTGCAAAAACTATCTGCAACATAATTCATCAAGATTTTAAATTGAACACAACTCAGTATATGTTACAATCATGCTGAAATTATTTTTATTATCCAATGGTTATTATATGTTCGGTGTTAATAGATTCAAGTCCACGTGGGGACTTATTTCTCCATGGCTCTGGCATTCTAAGAGTTAACTGGTTCAATTAAATGTATTTGGGTTGATTTAATGTGGAACAATTCAAGCAAACTAAATACGGCTTTGTGCCTTCACCCAAGGCATCATATTCATCATTACCACATTAAATAGAGTCAACACATTCAGCAGCTTCTCCTGCAGACTGGGTAAGTTAATCAACAGCAGAAATATGAAGAGTAATTCCTCTAACACTGACCTGAATGGGAAAACACTTGCCCAGGAACTTGAAAAGACTGACGATTTTCTTTGAAGTCACTCTTTCTCCTGGATTAACTTTACTTAAAGGGATGGACCAATAACACTCCATGCAATCTCATCTCTTTTTTCAATTGCGCACAAGTGAAACCCTGGCTACTTTATGCCCCCCCCTTGGGATAAAAGGGCCCACTTGCCTGCCAACCCCCCCCACTTCACAACATCCCCCCGCACCCTCCACCATCACCATCACCATCTCCTGATACAACTTTACCAGCAGCAAAGGCTGTGTTAGGAGGAGGAGCCAGCTTGCTTGTAGATATAGCGAACCTCTTATGTGGCCAATTAATGGCAACTTCAGGGATTTTACCCATCACCATGCCCATCAGTGCCATCCCAAAGCCCCCCACCCACCCGCACCCACTTTTCTCCTACCTTGCCATTCCTGTCCATTGCAGACCCCCACCTCCCATCTCGAGGGACTGCCAGCCTAGCTCTAGTGAAATTACCCCCCGACCCTCACCCACCCCGAGCTTTGTCCAGGCTTGGTCATTGCTTGCTTCCATCGGACATTCCCCACAGGCCCTGTAGTGACCATCACTTCCTGAGGCGCTGTTGGGATCAGAAAGCTGGTCTAGGTGGGGGCAGTTTGCTCTAGGTGGGGGCACAGGACTTCCCTGAATCAAATGAATGATTCAAACAAACAGAACCCCTATCCTGATTTGAACAAGGGGAGGTGGAAACTCCGCACCTTATTTCTATCATAAATTAAGACACCGTTCCTAAAACCCAGAAGAAATGGCCTTTGCGACAAGTGTTGGAGAAAAGTTTTTTTTTGCTTTGTTCAAGGGTATGTGGGCACTGCTGGGTAAGCCAGCGTTTATCGACCATCCCTAGCAAAGGAGTTGGTGAGCTGCCTTCCTGAATCCCGATGTTTGGGATGCGGGTATACCCACCCGGTTGTTAGGAAGCGACCTCCAAGATTTTGACTCAGTGCCTATCAGCAATGGCACATAGAATCCCTACACTGTGGAAACAGGCCCCTCGGCCCAACAAGTCTACACTGACCCTCAGGGCATCCCACCCAGACCCATCCCCCATAACTCACCTAACCTAAACTACCCTGAATACTATGGGCAATTTAGCACGGCCAATCCACCTAGCCTGCACATCTTTGGACTGTGAGAGGAAACCGGAGACCCGGTGGAAACCCACGCAGACATGGGGGGAACGTGCAAACTCCACACAGACAATCGCCTGAGGGTGGAATTGAACCCATGTCCCTGGCGCTGTGAGGCAGCAGTGCTAATGGTGTTTGACTTCCAGCGGAACTTGCAGGTAATGCATTCACTGCCATTGTCCTTCTAGGTGGTACAGGCTTTGGGAGGTGGGATCAGAGGAATAGATTCAGTTGATAGCTCATAGGTTAACTTGCGGTGTACCTCGTACCTGAGTGTGTGCTGTACAGGCATAACGTTTCAGATGGCCAAAATCACATGTGGTATCCTCCAAGCAGAAACTGGCTTTGTGTCCCTCAGCCACCTTTCTTCCAGTAACTGCATCCAGTAGGTCATAGTGACTAAACTCATCCATACTGTGATAGTGCCTGGCAATGAAAGACATGGACTACTTAAGAGATTGATTTGGAAACAAAAACATTATAGCTTGGTTGAATTGTCCAAATCCTGGGGCTTTCGGACCAGGGGCAAGTGTACATCACACTAACACGTTGTATAATCACTTCTGGTTCTCTGTGTGGCTGTTTGACAGATAATTGGGATGGGAGTTAACTCCAATGGAATGTGGAGTGAATTTGAAGAAGCTTAAACCAGGGGCTCTCAATTGAAATAGGCGGGCAGCCCAAATCTGCCCTTAATTTGGCACTAATTAGCTTAAGAAGGAAGACCCACACCATGTCTGCAGTTCCGATATATATTGCTGTTCCAAGGTAGAACCGAAGACATTGTTCAAAGCAGCATCTAACCGTATTACACATGGCCTCGGCATGTTTGTGTTACCACTGGGTGCCAGGATGCAAAATAATCCATCATTTTAACGAGTGGAACAATTTAACCTCAAAATATCCACAACCTCTGTCTGCAGGACTGAAACTCGAGTATTAACTTGCTGCTTACAACCTGGGACATGACCACCACTGCAAAATGTTAGGCTTGTTTAATTTACCACTAACGAGGAGGATGGGGAGAATTTGATGAGTAACTGTTGCTGGATTCAGACCCGACTCACATTCATTTCAATTCTGTTTTCAGATAACTCTTAAGGTACTTTAGTTAAGAGTCATTTCCAAATGACAGTCAATTTGAAATACCTTTAGTTATCCACATAGTACCATTGTAACACCATTAAAATCACTATCTCTTCTACTACTGGTGTCATCTGTCCAATCAATAACCTTGGTCTAGCCAGAATTTTATGTTTCTGTATATGTGATAAACCACATAGGGAGTTATAAAGTAGATCAACAAAATGCATAGATTGCTTTACGGCACATTAGCTTGGATCATTTCACACAATATAAATAAATGCTTTACATTACACCCTCAACAACAACAGTAATTAGTGGTTTGAATATTCCAAAGCGCAGTGAAGCATAATTTCACAAAACAAAATCAATGCCGAGATAAAGGGGGAGATGTTGGAAGGAATATCAAAAGTTTTATCAAAGAAATGGATTTAGTGGAGCGTCTTAATCTTGAAAAGGTGCTGGTGAGCTACCTCCTTGAGCTGTGGTGTAAATACACTCACAGCACTGTTCGATAGGGTGTTCCTTGACTTTGACCCGGCAACAGAGAAGGAATGGAGATGTAGTTCCAAGTAAAGACAGTGTGAGGCTCAGAGGGGAACTTGCAGGTGGTGGCATCTGCTGCCCATGCCCTTTTTGATGTAGATCTCATGGGCTTGGAAGGTGCCATCAAAGGAGCCTTGGCGAGTTACTGCAGTGCATCTTGCAGATGATGCAGATGTAGGTGCAGCTACTTGTGCGTTAGTGCGTTAAGCAGCCACATTGTCTTCAATGGTGTCAAGTTTTGAGTGCTGCTGGCTCTGAACTCATCAGGCAAGTGCAGAGTATTCCATCACACTCCTGACTTGTGCCTTATGGATTGTAGACAGGAGTTAGGGAGTTAGGAGGTGAATGACTCACCACAGAATTCTGGCCTGCCCTTGTAGCTATGGTTTTGATATGGTTCGTCCAATTCAGGTTCTGGTCAATGGTAATCACCAGTATGTTGATAGTAGGGGGATTCTGTGATTAAAATGCCATTGAATGACCAGCAGAGATATCTAAAGCATCTGGCACGCATGCTACATTCCATCACTTAGGAAGCCAAACCTGGTTGTGGTCCAGGTCTTGCTGCCCATAGACACAGAACTGCTCCAGTATCTGACGAGTTGCAATGTGACATATTTCTGGGATTCTAACATGGATTTAATGTGGATGAGGTCAATTATTATAATATTCACTACTGATGCAGATACAGTGGAAAATTAAAGGCATTTTGGGGAGGCGATGGCCAAGTGGTATGATCGCGAGACTATCAAACGAGAAACTCAGCTAATGTTCTGGGAATCCGATTTCAAATCCTGCTATGGCAAACGGTGGAATTTGAACTCAATTTTTAAAAAAAAACCTGGAATTAAGAATCTACAATGAAATTTTCAGGAAAAGCCCATCTCGTTCATTAACGTCCTTTAGTAATAGAGATCTGCCATCCTCACCTGGTCTGGCCTTCATGTGACTCCAGACCCATAGCAATGTGGTTGACTCTCAAATGCCCTCTGAAATGGCCTAGAAAGCCACTTCGTTCAAGTTGCAGCTAAGGATGGGCAATAAATGTGGGCCAGCCAGTGATGTAAATGTCCCACAAGTGGGACATATTTTAGGGGAAGGCAGTGGCCAAGTGGTATTATCGCTGGACTGTTAATCCAGAGACCCAGAGAATGGTCTGGGAACCCGGGTTCGAATCCCACCGCAGCAAATAGTGGAATTTGAATTCAATAAATGTCTGGGATTAAGAATCTAATGATGACCGTGAATCCATTGCCAATTGTCGGGAAAAACGCATCTGGTTCATTAATGTCCTTGAGGGAAGGAAACTGCCATCCTTACCTGGTCTGGCCTACATGTGACTTCAAACCCACAGCAATGTGGTTGCCTCTTAACCGCCCTCTGGGCAATTAGGAATGGGCAATAAATGCTGCCTAGCCAGTGACACCCTCATCCCATGAATGAATAAAAAAATGTGTCCTCCAGCCTCCCTCACATTGAAAACTACAAACAATAAACATTGACGCATGTTCTTAAAGAAAATACCCAAATCCAAAAGCCAATAAAAGATATCCACATATAGTGACGCTAACACTCCCAGGTTGAACAAAATTGATTGAGTAATTCCCATCAACCACATTGTACTTGACTGGGATTGATTTATTATAAATTACTATCTTCCATTCATTGGATTTTGTTGGAGAAATAAGCCTGCTTTTAATGGGGAACTTTGGTCAAGACTTTCTTTTGTGGTAAGTGAATATAAACAGACTCCGTTTGCTTCGTAAATGGAATCTGTTGTGATAAATTTGTTGTGGGCCCCAATTCACGTTCTACTATTGGCTGGCAAGGCAGTGTTACTCAATGGAAATTCAAAGAGATGGCACTTAAGAAACACAAAGTGATGAAGTTATAGAAGCCCTATGGTGTGGAAGCAGGCTATTTGGCCCATTGAGGTCACATCAGCTTTCCAAAGAGCATCCCACACAGACTCACTCCCTGCGCTCCCCCCCAACCCCCCATAAACCTGCATATCCCATGGCTAACTCACCCAGCCTGCACACTATGGACAATTTAGCATGGCCAATCCACCTAACCTGCACATCTCTGGACTGTGAGAGGAAACCAGAGCACCTGGAGGAAACCCAGGCAGACACAAGGAGAATGTGTAAACTCCACACAGACAGTCGCCCGATGGTGAGCATTGAATCCTGGTCCCTGGTGCTGTGAGGCACTGCTAACCACTGAGCCACTGTGCCACCCTAAGTTGAGTGGTAATTCCACAGATAAGAGCATTGAGACAGACCAGGACAAAATATGATGTTATTTGGTGTTCAATACAGTAGAGAAAAATTCCAACAAGAGACTACTTTGTGAATACACCCTTTTCTTATTGTCCCTTAAGTTGTTGGACGAATGGAGATGACTGGTAAACAAATGGCAATGTCAATGTGAGGAAAACTTGCTTCATACTCTGGCTGATTGCAGATAGCTAGAGGTGTGGAATGTAGCAAAAAGTACTGTGCTTGTCGCAAGATATATAATACTTGAGCAAGGGGAGGAGAGTGGGAAGAGGGGGTGATATCTTTTAGCTTAATCAAAAGACTGGAGCTGCTAATAATCTACTCCACTTGCACCCTGGATTATAACAAACACATGGAGGATGCAGATCGAAATGTTTAGCTTGGAAAACATTGTTATTTGGCACGCACAGTACTGAAATCCTGAAAGGAACTTTTCTTCCACTTCAGCAACACTATGACTCATGAAGGAGTTGATCGTGCACAAGATGTTTTCCTCAAGGAGCCTGACTCAGTACCAGTTCCATATAGAGCTGGCAAGCGAACTGAAGCCTGGCTGCCAACACTATTCCACCTCCTGATGATCTCATGATGATCTGTTGACGAAAGTTAGCAAGTTACATGGTTTTTGAGGAGAGCATTTCCGACTGCTGTTGAGAGAAAGGAAGACATTTAAGGGAGAAAGCAGTAGCGTAGCAGCAACGACATTGGATTAACATTCTATGACCACCCAACTAATGTTACACAGAATCCCTACAGTGTGGAAACAGGCCCTTTGGCCCAACAAGTCCACACCGACCCTTGGAGCAGCCCACCCAGACCCATCCCCTTATAACCCACCTAATCTACACCTCCCTGAACACTACGGGCAATTTAGCATGGCCAATCCACCTACCCCTAAACATCGTTGGACTGTGGGAGGAAACCAGAGCACCTGGTGGAAACGCACGCAGACATGGAGAGAACATGCAAACTCCACACAGTCAGTCGCCCGAGGGTGGAATTGAACCTGGGTCCCTGGAGCTGTGAGGCAGCAGTGCTAACCACTGAGCCACTGTGCTGCCCCAATAAGAACTCATGCGGGAGACATGTTCTCAGGACATTGGGTTCAAATCCCACCAGGGCAGAAGATGAAATTTCATAGAATCCCTACAGTATGGAAGCAGGCCATTCGGCCCATCGAGTCCACACCGACCCTCCGATCAGCATCCCACCCAGACCCAGCCCCCTGCCCTATCCATGTAACCCTCCATTTCCCATAGCTATCCCACATTGTCTGCACATATCTGGACACTTTGGGCGATTTAGCATGGCCAATCCACCTGACATGCCCATCTTTGGACTGTGGGAGGAAATAAATGCAGACCCGGGGAGAATGTGTAAACTGCACGAAGCCAGTGGCCCAAGGCTAGAACCAAACCAGAGTCCCTAGCGCTGTGAGGCAGTAGTCCTAGCCGATCAGCCACTGTGTTGCGCCAAATTTGAATTCGATAAAAAATCTAGTCTAATGGTGCATTG